ACAAGGAAGGAATCTGCCGAATAAACCCTCGATGCTGACCTCCAGGGCAGGCCACTCTCTGTCTCACTCACCTCCACCTTCTCAGACTTCCATGACTCTTGGTTCAGAACCTCAATACCTCCGCCCATCACTGCTGATCAAGGCAGGTGCCTGGCTTCCCACCCACCCCCTGTTCCAATCTGCTCCATCACAGAGTTCTAAAATCCAAGCCAGCCACTTCACTTCCCTGCATCTCTCTTTCCTCCTCTGTAAAACTGATTATGAAGATGACATCAAACTTAACAGCTGTGTATGCAAATTAAAGAGGCCACTTCTAGAGCAGGGATGGAGTGTTTTCCTAGCACCAACCAGGCCCAGGGATGTACTCAAAGGCCAGTCTAGGGTACATGAAACCCTGTCAAAAAACAAGCAAACCCAAAACAGTAGTGACCTTCTTGTATGCTTTTCCTTCCCAGCATCTGCCCCAGTCTCCTTTTTTTTTTCAGCCCTCCATCATCCTGCTTCCTTCTGTTGCTACGCCTGGGAAGACGTACAAGGTCACAACCCATTTTCCAGATAGAGACACTGACATTTGGAAAACAAGCAACTTATCCAAAGCTTTGCAGCCCAGATGGGACCCAGGGAATTCCCAACTCACCACATTCTCCACGCCCCGCCCCTGACTAAGCACACGTGCCCTGCTCCCCCTTCGCGGCTCCGCCCCAACTACCCAGTCGCCGGGGCTAGGAAAAGGGGGTTAACTCTTTATTGCCCGGAAAGCCTCCCTGGCCCGAAAGCAGGGAGAGATTTGGACAAGGCACTGAAGGGTGGACAGAAAGAGGATGATCTTGCGCTCACAGCCCGGCCAAGCTCTGATCCCCTAAAGATGACACACCATGACCCCGAAACCAGGGCTCCGCACCTCACCTGCTGCAGCTGCTCCGTTCGCAAACTCACTTCCTGCTTCCGGCTCCCCCCCCCATTCATTGGGACTTCACAAGCCCCGCCCCCACCAACCAATTGTCTGGTCTCTGGGATCAGATGGGCGGCGGCTGCAGCCAGTGTATACACCGAGGACAGAGCCTCCCTCATCTACCCGCCGCCCCCGGGCGCTATGGGTGGTGCTTGCTTAGAAGGGCCCTGAGGCCTTGGCCTTTTGTCCACAGTCCACACTGGCTCTGAGGAGTGGCGAGGGGGAGTCGGGAGAGGTTTGGGTATCTCGGTAACCCACGTGGCTGCTGCCTGGTGCAGGTAGAGGATACTGACAAGGTCCCCAAACATAAGGATCCCTATACATCAGTAGCCCCCACCACGTAGCTGGGACGTTGCTCTATTTGGGATTTCACCTCCAGTGTCCCTCCAACCTGGGTTTGGCGGATGGCAACATGCACTTAGAGGAAAGCATAGCAATGTGGATCCCCCTCCCCTCTGGTTTTGGAGTTGCTATTTGGAGACTACAAAGCTCTTGCAGAGTGGAGGCTACAGGCGAAGAAACTACTGGCAGAACCGAGGTAGTTCCACCCACTCAAGATTGCAGAAAAATGGTACAGGCGCTTCACTGGCTTGCCATGGACTTGGAAGCAACCCTTAAACATTCGAATTCCCAGTTTCTTTAACACGCGAAGATGGGGGCAGCAAAGAGCCGGCATTTTCTTGGTGCAGCCGTTTGCTGGACAGAATAGAAAAGCAGCCTCTGGCTACTCAGGAGCAGCCCAGGATGTAGGCAAGCATACTGCTGGTTTTTAGTAGTCATGAGGGTGTCTGTCTGAGTGACCCCTAGTGCGTGCAAGTTCCTGCCATCTGAAGTAGAAAACACTGCAAAGAGCTTGCTTTAGAGTGGGAGCTGACGCATGCTGCCTGAGGTCAAATCTGACTTCCGTTACTTTAGGTAGACCATTTCTCTGACTCTTGAGCTCTGTCAGCTTTACTTCAGGACTAGTAAGTGAATCTGCTCCAAGGGATGGGTGACCGTCAAGGGGAAGTGCTGCCCCCTAGGGTTGTGTAGAAGATAGTGTCTTGGGACTGAAATCCAACACCCTCTCCTTGCCACACCTAAGTATGGGGCCCAGTGTAACCAGTGTCCAGCACAAGCACCAGTTTCTTTTTCACAAAGGTGCCCAAGACGGGCTTGTCACCACAATGCTAGTAGCTGTTGGCTCTGGTATGTGTCATTATAGGAGGGAATTCTGTAAAAATGTTTATGTCCTAAGGAAACTCCCCTTCTTTCCTTTTGCCTTTTTTCATTGTTTTTAGAATAAAGTTGACTGACACAGATGAAGTTGAAGTGTAACCATAACCAGGCAGGAGAGGTAGAGCTGTCCATAGCTACCAAGGGGTAGGGGTAGCTCAGGCAAGTGAAGGATCCCAGTACCCAAGACCCCCAACCAAGTTGCATGATGCCATTTTATAATCTCAATTAATGGGAGTACTTATTGAATGAAGTCCTTTACCAGCAGCTTGCCATATAGAATCTCATTTAATTCTTGCAAAACCCCTGAGATAGCATATCATTGTTGTACCAACTGCACAGGTAGGAAAACTTAGACTAAGAGGATCTTTGATTTCCTAAGACTTTCTACTACACTGTTTCTTCCTCCTGCCCCAACATTCACTCAACTCTCTCTCTCTCTCTCTCTGTCTCTCTCTCTCTCTCTCTCTCTGACACAGCACAGTCTATTAATGGGTCATGGCTTTTCTGTATGTTTACATCCACCTGGTGAGTAATGTACTTTTTTGTTTGTTTGAGATAGGGTCTTGTCATATAGCCTGGGCTAGCACTGAACACACAATCCTCCTTCCTTAGCTCACCAAATGCTGGGATTGTAAGCACATGCCACCATGCCTGGCCTTAGAGACTATCACTCCATTTAACAATTGTGGGATCTTAAGCTCAAGAGCTGCCTCCCACCACCAGCCTGAGTTCTTCTCAGAGCCCATGCAATTACCTTTTGTTTGTCGCTCCTCCCAGAGTCTGAGATTCAACACCAAAAATGAGATCCCCTGCCTGGTCCCCAACTGGGCCATTAGCAAGAACGGAGTACAATTTCATTTCTAGTGTTTTGCAGGGAGGGCTGAAATGTTCCCTTACACTCTGGTATCCCCTTCTGCCATGCTTCCTACTGTAGCTATGTGATGCAGTCTGTTGTGTGATGGCTGCCTTCTGTCCTCTCAATAGCCCAAGTCTGGTCTTTCTGGCCTCAACTGGCTGTGTGGCCTTGGGTAGGTCCTTATGGAATCAGCACCTCCCTAAAGCTCTGGTTTCTGTCTTGCACTGAGGATAAGGTCACACCTACACTCAGAGCCACCTTCTCTTATTTTTCTATAGTCTATCTACCTATTTTCCTGGTTCACTCCCCTTTGAATGGTCAGGGGGAAACCTCAGTTCAGCCCTTGGTTCACACGAAGTCCTGACTCACCAACAGAAGGAATAGGGAGGAGTTTGGAACTGACTTGAGTTCCACAGTCACCAAGGTCCACCTGGTCCAGCCTACAGCCCTGATCCCATCACTTTTTCTGTTGACCTGCAGATACTGGTTGTTTGGCATTTTCCCTGCTCTTCTATGTTGTTGCTCTCACCCAGACTGCCCTCCAAACTCCATCCTGCCTCTGCAGTGTCTGCCATTCAAGATGTGGCTCTGGTTTTAGGCCGTCCAAGTTCTCAGTTTAACCCCAGCATGTACAGGTGGCCATCAGGATGTGGTGATCAGCTTCTGACATTAGTCCCACAGGGTGTCCTCTGAGTGGGAGCCCTTGCTCATTGCCGGGGCCCTGCATGGGGATGGGCACTGAGCAGGTGGATATCCATCTATCTGTTCTTCAGCTTCTCCATGAAACAGACTCTAAACTGCCTTACCTCAGTCTTGCCCAGCCTTAGTATGATCTGAGAGGGGTAGTTGTGGCTTCCAATAATGACTTGCAACTAGATTGTAACTTTATCTCTCTATGAACCCAAATGGAGACATCTCCCCTTCTGGATCACTGTGAGTATTAAATAACAAAATCTTGGAGAGACAGCCCTGGTACCTAGTGAGTACTCAATGAACACAGCTGTAATTACTGTTAGGACGGGTTGGGACACACAGTGAATATTCAGCAATGGTAGCCCTTGGGTCAGAGCCAGTGCTGTGAAGCTGACTCCTGACTATCCACAAATGAGGATCTGGATTCTCCACCAAGCATGACCACATGCTATGCTCCAGCATCCCTTAAGCCCTTAATCTGTTTCTCCTTCCCTGCTTCCTTACCCTGAGCCTGTGCCAAGAGGGTACAGAGCCCTTACCTTGTGGACCTGGAAGATTCCAAGCCAGCATGGAGGCTGAGCTCCTGTGCCACCTCCTCCATGAAGTCCTTTACTTTCCCAAATCCAGCAAGTGCTGACCTCTAGCCTTATAATTGTCTGATCCTAACACCCAAAAAGCTGTCTACCCTCCATGAGGCTGTGAACTTCACCAGGTGCAGAACCTGATTGTCCGTATGTCCCCCACTTGGCACTATCCTGCCTGCAAATGCTGACCTCAGACTGCCTGCCCACTCATTGCTCACTGAGGGCTGGAGGTATGGCATGCATGTGGGACAGACACTTGGATCTGTGAAGGCATCTGAGCAGCAAGATTTAAAGAGCAACCCAGGGCAGCAGCGGGAGGAAGGAATAGCTGTTACTGGATTGGCAGGTTCAGGGCACAACCAAATTAAGCTGGAAGTCAGGGGCCCTAGCCCCTTCACTCCCCCAGGGGCACAGTGTAGGCGGCATGATGTAGGATACCCCAGGAAGGGCAGAGGCATGGGGCACCCTCCATCAGCCTGGGGCAGAGCTAGTGCTACAGTCCCCATCAGCGTGACTGGGATAGAGATCTCAGGGATCCTCTTAGAGGCTAGAGTTGAGGGCCATAGCCCATCCGATATGTCCACCTGGTGTGGCTATTGCCAGCAGGCACAGTCCCACATGCAGAGCTCCCTCTGAACAGCAGGAGATGGGGGACCTGGGTGAGCAGGCGGGCGTGGCAGCAAGGACCCTGGAGAGCCTAATCCAGTGGTCCCTGGAAAATTAGGCGGACACAGCCATGCTCACCAGTGAGCCAAGCCCCACAAAAGGGGCAGGCTGCATGGAAAGCGTGGGTGCCATGCGGCAGTGGTGTCTGGGCCCAATAGCGGGCAGTCTTCTCAGAACAGACATGGCCACAGGGTGCAAAAGCGTGGCTGGGTGGCCCAGGGTCCAGGCAGAGACCGGCCTCCTGGCCCAGCCACAGGGGCACATAGGGTCCCACAAGGCGGCAAAGAGGACACTCGCGCTCCTGAGGGCCTCGCTCCCTCCGGCAGCCCCAGCCATGGTAGCCATGGACATGACCACAACGGACGTAGACCCAGGGCTGTTGCTTGTCAGGTGCTGTGCGGCCACGGGCTGGACTGGGGAAGGCCAAGGTGCTGAGGCCCACAGGACACTGGGGCCGTGCTGCGTTGGCCTCCTGTCGCTGGGCCTCCAGTTGTTTCAGTGTGGGTGCCCTCAGCAACCCTGCTGGAGTGCGCCACAGCAGCGTGGCCCCACAGAGGTCGATGAGCGAACCATCTTGCAGGACGTTGGATTCGTTTTCCACCTGCCGGAGGCAGCAGAAGGCCTTAGCCCAAGAGCTCTCTGGCCCTGCCATCTGGCAGCCTCACACCAGAGAAGCCACCTATCTGGCCAGTGACATTCCCTGGAGAGGACACCCTAAGCCAGCAGGCCAGCTGAGACAAGGAAGACAAATACCCCCATACAGCCACTATTCTCAGTAGGACCTGGACTTTGGCAGCTTTATAGGTCAAATCAGGAGGTCTGGCCCAAAGTAAGGTTTTTCTGAAAGGTTTTTCAAAGCTCTCCCATAATGGCAAAAGTAGGATATAGTAGAGAGAGCAAATACCTCCCATGGTGCACACTGGCTGCTTAACCCAAAGCAGCTGCCCTAAGGGTCATGGATCACAGCAAGAACTCTAGAGACAGAGAGCCTGAGTTTGAATCTTGAGTTTGAATAACTTAACTTCTGTGTCTTGGTCTCTTGGACCTTAAAGTGGATTCTATATCTCAAGTGGTGGGCCTTGTGAAAACTAAATAAGCCAACCAGACAAAAACATGGAACAATGTCTGGTATATAGTGGGCATGTAACAAACATATGTCCATGTCACATTCATGTGCATGATTTTTTTGTTTGTTTGTTTTTGCTTTTCGAGACAGGGTTTCTTTGGGGCTTTGGAGGCCGTCCTGGTACTAGCTCTTATAGACCAGCATGGTCTCCAACTCAGAGATCTGCCTGCCTCTGCCTCCCCAGTGCAGGGATTAAAGGAGTGCACCACCCCCGCCTGGCTCATGTGCATGATTTGCTTTTTGTTTTGTTTTGTTTAATTTTAGGAGTGTTTGTCTATATGCATGTCTATGTACCCTATGCATGCCTGGTGCCCATGGAGGCCAGAAGAGGGTGTTGGAGTCCCTGGAACTAGGGTTATAGATGGCTGTAAGTTTGGTAATCAAACATGGGTTTTCTAGAAGAACAGCTGGGCTATCTCTAGTCCCTGGTTTGATTTTGAGACAGGCTCTTGCTGTGTACCCAGGCTGGCCTAGAACTCATAAACTTTCCATGTGCTGGCAGCTGGGGAGAATTCTCTGTAGTCCAGTCAAGGAATCTGGCTATATGGCCCTATGTTTCCTATAACTCACTTCCAGCATTAGTGCTTTAAGCAGCACCAGAGGGATAACTCTGGGCCAGCAGTATAAGAACTACGCTAAAGGCCATTTCTTGCTGGGAAAGACTAAAAACACTAAACCTACCTCCCTGAATGTAACAGATACAGTATAAGCTGCCAACACTCTGGGCTATAAACTGCTCATACACAGACCAAGTGTCACCCTTGGAAGAAGATGTGATTTTCCTAAGCTGCTGGCAGCCTCAAAGCCATTTGGTTCTACACAGTGCATTTGTGTAGTTCTATTTCATATCATCTGCTGGATCCTCAGCAGAATGGAACTATGCATAAGGACCTTGCTCTGGTCCTATCTGTGGGTAAGTGACAAGTGTCAAGAACATGCTGAGCCTGGGCCAGCTCACCAGAGCCTACCGGGACTCTTGGACAGAAGTACTGTAGATCATCTCTCAGCTGAAAAAAGCAATGAACTAATTACGAGGGCTGGGAATGTTGGGGAGAAATGGAGGAGGCCACCTACCAGCTTCCCCCGCTGCTGGGCTGAGCGGCTATCCCGCAATGTATACACATTCCCGCAGACGGAAATCTCCCTCCAGACACCTGGGGCAGAGTCCTCAGAGAAGCCACCTGCTGGGTGCATCACCAGGACCCCGTTGGTTGTCAGGCCATCCATCAGACCATCAGGAGTCCTCCATTTGGCTGCCCGCTCCTAGGACCACATGAAGGATAAGCTCACAACCCCAGGAGCCCCCCCCCAAAGGCTGCATGCGAGAGGTGTTGTCCTCCCACCTTCAAGGTCTGGGGTTTCCCAGAAAGGTCTTGGGCACCACTTAACTTCTTTGTACCTCACTTTGCTTCTTCAAGAAGTGGAATGCTAAAGCCATAGAGTGTTGTGGCAGAGAATGGCTATGGACTGGGCCGTCACTCTAGCCTGCAGCATCTCCCCAGCCTCCCTCCCATCAGCTCACTCAGTGGAAGGGTTAGCCCTGCCTGGGGATCACTCACTCCAAGAAAAATGTTGCTAGAGGCATCGAAGCCAGCAGCATAGATGCGGGCAGTATAGGGTGGCCGACGGTCACAGAGGATGCGGCAGGCATAGCGGGAAATGGTACTTTGAGCAGAAGGGCCCTCTGTGGCTCCTCCACCAGGAGATGTGTCTGTTACCACGAAGTCAATCATGTTTTCAGTAGAGCGGCCAATCTACAAGGAGAGGAGGGCAAGAACACACGCACAGGCAAAGTTCACAGGTTTCTGACCTGGTATCTCAGCAGCCATCAATCAATCAAGAGGCTAGACCCAAAGAGGGTAGCACAGCACAACTCTCTATCGCGGTGGTTCTCAACCTTCCTAATGCTTTGACCCTTTAATACAGCTCCTCATGACCCAACCCTAAAATTATTTTGTTGCTACTTCATAACTGTAATTTTGCTACTATTATGGATCATAATGTAAATATCTGATATGCAGGGTATCTGATATTCGACTCCCAATGGGGTCGAGAGCACCAGGTTGAGAACTACTGCTCTAGACCCTCTGGGCTTGCATGCAGGTTTTCTACATCTGATTAGCTGTGGCATGAAGCAACTTGTGCTCCGTGGCCCCATAGCTCTGAGAAACACCCCACTCAGTAAGAACCAGCTCATCTGCTCATAGACCAAGCAAAAGGTGACACCCTGGAATAGTAACAACAAATTAAATTTTAGTTAAGAATGTATCTTTGCTGGGCGTTGGTGGCACATGCCTTTAATCCCAGCATTCAGGAGGCAGAGGCAGGTGGATCCCTGTGAGTTCGAGACCAGCCTGGTTACAAGAGCTAGTTCTAGGACAGCCTCCAAAGCCACAACCCTGTCTCGAAAAAAAAAAAAAATGTATCTTTAAAGATTTTTTTTGTTGTTGTTGCTGTTAAGCAGGGTCTCACTATGTAGCCTTCACTGGCCTAAAACTTACTATATAGATCAGGCTGGCCTCAAATTCACCTGTCTCCACCTCCCAAGTGCTAGTATTAAAGTGTGAGCTACCACACCTACTTATTATTTCTGTATATGTTTGTGTGCCTGAATGAGTTTATTGCACTACATGTGTGCAAGAGCCTATGGAGGCCAGAGGGCATCAATTCCTCTGTAACTGAGTCACAGGCCACTGTAAGCCAGATGATATGGGTGCTGGGAACTGAACCTGAGTCCTTTGCAAGAGCAATAAATGCTCTTAACCACTAACCCATCTCTCTAGGCCTAAGCTAAATATTTAACGTACAAGACCTCAGTTCTCTTCCCATGGTGGGGAGCTACTATGGACCTCATTTTACAGATGAAGAAAACAAGACTCAGAGATGTTAAATGACTCTTGTCCAAAGTCACCTAATGGTTAAAAGCATAGAACTGAACCTAGGCATGATGGGGCTTAACCCTATACGCTGAATTCCAAAGCCATATCACCTCCCAACTCTATGTGTCTTGACTCTGAGGGCTGCTGACTGGCTATTGACTGCAAAGTCAGCAACCCAGTCTAAGACATCCTACTTTCCCATCTGTAGGGCAACCCACAGAGTTTCAGAAGCACCTTTCCCAGGGCGTCTAGGCCCATGGCCTGACCCTGAACACCTGCAGAGCACAGGGGCTGGAAGACTGGACATACCTGGAACATGTCTGTGTCGCTGTCATGTGTGTACTCCACTATGACTGAGTGGCTCCGGGACAGTGTGTACGAGATGCTATGCTGGCCTCGGTTACTCAGGGCCTGGTGGAGAGAAAGCAGTCACTTCCCAGGGTACAGGAGAGGTGTAGACTTCTGAGCCAGAAGCCAGTTCAAGACCCAACAGTCACTCCCAGAAAAGGGTGGCTCCATCCAGTGCAGAGGAGACTGTACAGAAGGAACTGTCAGCTAGCTCTCTTGTTTAATCTGCCAGCTATCTCAAAAATGTGCTATTGTTCCATTTTTACAGTTGGACAAGAGCCGGCCCTCAGTCACACAGCTGGAAACAGCAGAGACTTAACTTCCATGCCACCCGGATAAAGTCAAAGTTTTCCCTTTGGTATTGTGTGTGATGGCTGTTCTTGTTTGTCAACTTGACTATATCTGGAATTAATTAAAACCCAAACAATGGGGCATGCCTGTGAGGGATTTTTGCTTAATAAAATCATTGAAGTAAGAAGATCCACTTCTAATCCAGGTAATTGAGGTGGAAAGATAAACCTCTAATCAAGATTTTTTTTCAGGTAGGAGGAGCCACCTTTAATGTGGGCCACACCTTCTGCTGGCAGCCCACCTAAAGGACATGGGAGAAGAAAGATCTTGCTCTCCCTCTCGCTGGCAACTCCATTCCTTCACTGGCTTTAGAGCCTACTTCCTCAGGATTCCAGAGTATACTGAAGACCAGCTGAGACATCCAGCCTCATAGACAGAACAACTACTGAGTTCTTGACCCTTCCATTGGTAGACAATTGTTGTTGGGCTAGCTGGACCATAACCTGTAAGCCATTCTAATAAGTCCCCTACATATTTATTCATAGATAGATAGATAGATAGATAGATAGATAGATAGATAGATAGACAGACAGATATATAGATAGGGATTTATTCTATGAGTTCAGTTTCTAGAGAACCGTAATACATTGTGTGAACATTATATCCCACTCATGGTCCTTGGCTACCTCTAAAATAATGCTGATAGGTGCTGGAGAGATGGCTCAGTGATTAAGATCACTTGCTGCTCTCGCAGTGGACCCAGGTTTGATTCCCAGCACCCATATGGCAGCTTACAAGGGTTTGTAACTCCAGTCCCAGGATATCCAGTACATTCTCCTGGCCTCCACAGGCACTGCATGCTCATGGTGCATAGCCATTCATGCAGGCAAAACATCTATACACATAAACACAAATTTTAAAATCTTTAAATAAGTAAAAATTCCAACCAATGAATGGAGTATGGCAGTCAAGGAAACATTCTAAAGGCTGTTAAGGATTAGTCACACTGCAGAAGATGTCTATTATTGCCATTTTGGGGTGTGTCTGTGGTGTGGTTTATGTGCGTAAGTGTGCACAGTTTGTACCCACAAAAGCCACTGGGTGTCCTCTGTCACTCTCATCTATGTCTCTCACTGAACCTGGAACTTGTGTTTTTTAGTTAGGATGATGGTCAGCAAGCCCCAGCAGTCCTCCTGACTTTGCCCTCAACAGTGGGTGCTTTTACTTTATGAGTGCTGAGGCTCCAAACTCAAATCTTCATGCTTGCACAGCAAGCCTTCTTATCCTACTGAGCCATCATCTCTCTAGCCCCATCACAATCATTTCTTTACTGAGACAACAGGCAGTGAGAGAACAATGACACAGTGGGCTCCTCTGCTCCAGAAACGCCATGGGCAGGTAGGTTTAGCAAGGCTAAAACCTGGGCTTGTACACACAGGAGAGGATGACATCCATTCCACGGAGGGAGGCTGCTTGCCTTGGAGACGAGTGGTGTGGAGATGTGGTGCATAACGTCTGGCTTCACTCCGTTGGCATGGGGCCGGCGGCTCAGTGCCAGGCGGCTTCGGCGGCGGCCCTTGTCCCCACTTGCCAGACATCCATTGTAGCTGTGGATGTTGTCGGGAGGGGGGGGGCGTAAGTGAGAGGAGATAAAGAAGAGAGTGAGCCCCTAGGAGACCTGAAGGAAAATGCCAACTCAGAGTAGACCCTACCTTGATAAACAAATGCTAGAACTACCCAAGGCCAGAAGAGCCCAGAACAGCAAATGGCTTGAGGAGCAGGAGTTGGGGTCCCTCCTTCAATGAGTCAACTGTTTCCTGGATGCCTCGGCTGTGACAGCAAGTGCTAGGGTCGCAGAGGCGATGCATCATAGTTACGTCTGTGTCCTCAGGGGAGGGGAGGACCCAGCTTCTCAAGGAACCCAGGCACCACCTGCCATGACCCAGGCACAAGCCAAGCACACTCAAGCCCCGGTGGCAGGAGGTGGGATAACAACCCCAGGGTTGGGATTCCGGAGCCTGGAAAGACTTCTTCTGCAGCAAAGGGTCATTCATCACACAACTGCCATAAATGACCAAGCAGGAAAGGACAGCCTCGAATCCCACTCCCTCCATTATCCCCACACGTCTCATTTCCAGCTTCCTTTCCAGCTTTGATTCAGGGGGAATGACCACGAGGAGCAAAGATGAGATGAGTCATTGCCTTGACCGCTGCCATGGACTGCTGCCTCTGTTCCTGGTCCTTCATGTTTTTAATTACCTAATGGAATCTGTGAAATGTCCTGCCAGGGAAATGTCTTTCTTCCTATTTTATAAATTAGACAAGTCAAGGCCCAGGAGGGAAATGATTTGCCTCAAGCTAAGAAGCTTTAAAAAAAAAAAAAAAGCCAGATTGCAGTCATACTCCACCTAGACTTGCCAAAGTCCTTCAATTTAGAGGTCTCTGACCCAAGGCCCTAAGACTGGCAGGGTTTAGTAAGAATAGGATTTGGTGACTCGGTGATAAAGTATAGTATAGAGAGATATGAATGCCAAGCTAAGAATGCTTTTCTGTAAGTAATGGGGAGTCACAGCAAACTTTGGAGAAGGAAATAAGAGGTTGTCAAATTAGCCGGGTGTTGGTGGCGCACGCCTTTAATCCCAGCACTTGGGAGGCAGAGGCAGGTGGATCTCTGTGAGTTCGAGGCCAGCCTGGGCTTCAGGGGAAGTGACAGGACAGCCTCCAAAGCTACACAGAGAAACCCTGTCTCAAAAAACCAAAAAAAAAAAAAGGTTGCCAAATATAGATAGGGCTGGGGATAGCTCAATGGGTGGAATGCTTGCCTAGCTTGCACAGTGCTCTGGTTTCAATTCCTAGCACCACATAAATGCAGTCTATAATCTCAGAACTTGGGAAGAATGAAGACCAGGAGCTCAAGGTCATCCTCAGCTACTTAGGGAGATAGAGGCCAGCATGAGACCCTCTCTCAAAAAGAAAAAAAAAAAAAAGCCAAATACATGTCGGGCATTGGTGGCACACGCCTTTAATCCCAGCACTCGGGAGGCAGAGGCAGGAGGATCTCTGTTAGTTCGAAGCCAGCCGGGTCTTCAAAGAAAGTTCCAGGAAAGTCTTCAAAAATACAGAGAAACCCTGCCTGGAAAAACAAAAACAAAGATAAATAAATAAATAAAGTCAAATACAAGGACCAATTAGAATTTAATGAGTCCATTAAAGTTGGTATTCTCTAGACCTATCCAGAGATTCTGCCTCTTTAGGTGTAGGATTCCTCCTGCTATCTCCTATTTTCTTTTCTCTCTTCTCCTTTTCCCCCTCCCTCCCTCCTTCCTTCCCTCTTTCTTCTTTTTGTTGATCTGGAGACAAGGTCTCATGTAACCCAGGCTGGCTTCCCTACCTCTACCTCTGGAGTGCTGGGATTAGAGGTGTGTGCCACTCCACCTGACTCAGTGTGTGTCATACACGTGTTCTCCAGTAGCTCTGATACACAGCTTGAGTGAGGCTTCTCTGATCTGCTTAAGACAGAGGGCTGTCAACAAAACCCCTCCCTCCTCTTAATCTGCAGTTTCTTCTATCTGTGGCCTTGCACCCAGACAGAAACACAGGCCTTCCTTCCATCAGACACAAAGCAATTGCTTTTCAGAGGTAAGCACCCCTGTGAGGAACATCTCTTTTACTTTGAGTACTTCTTCTGTGTGGGCACAGGCAGGTCTAGAGGGAAACAGTCAGGATGCAGGCTGACAATACACAGGAACCTGGCATACATCCTGGCTCTTCCAGTCATCACCTCTATAAAACAGAGCTCATTTGTCAGAACCTACTCAGAAGGTTGATTTGGAGAACTAAAAAGATAAAGCGCTGTAAAATGCTTGACAGAGGCTGGCCAGCTCTTGATATGAGTTAGCGATTATTGTTATTTGAAAAAAGGCAAGGGGACTGGAACTAGCTCTTGTAGACCAGCCTGGGTCTTGAACTCACAGAAATCCACCTGCCGCTGCCTCTGGAGTGCTGGAATTAAAGGCGTTCGCTACCACCCGGCTCCTGTTTTGCATTGTTAACTTCCATCATGATCCCATAGCCTACCAAGCAGTGTCTTCAGGGTAGAGATGGGGCCAAAAGGAGGCACAGGGAAAGGAGGAGGAATCTGTGTCTGGAGGAAGAGTTTCATGGGAAGTGCAGGTATCCAGGCAGGCAAAGACCAAAAGGGATCAGGTCTGTTCAGCCATCAAGGTCCATAAATTCCTCTCTCAGAGACTACACTTTCTCATCTGTAGCACAAGAGCAAGCTGCAGCTTAGTGATAGTTTGCTATATCTACAGTTAGGAAGATGGGTTCAAATTCCGGCCCGGCCACCTACCAGCTGTGTGCCCTTGGGCCAGTCACTTCCCCTCACAGCATCTTTGTGAAGATTGAAATGAAATACTGCCCATGAAAAGGCTTGGCACCACCTGCCTGCCTGACACTTGGTAAGTGCTGGGTACCAGACTATGTACTTTACAAAAATCCCTTCTTTCAGATAACCTTTGGGGCTGTGACTTAGTATCAACCCTGTCTTCAAAATGGGGAAACAGAGGCACAGGAAAGTTCAGCAATTTGCAAAAGCAGGATTGGGACCAAGGAGTTTTGTGCAGAATCAGAGTTCTTTCCCCTACACCTACACACAGTAGGTGTTTTTCAGGCTCTTTTTCTCATCTGGTTAGAAACTCTGTTGAGCAGTTAAGAATTGTCTCAGGAATTTTATGAGAAACAGAAAGATCAAATAATTATGAACAGATACGGGTTTGGTCAATTTTGTCTTTCATCCGGGAAGGTAACAAGAAACAAAGAGGAAGGAGCCCTGGAGAGGGCAGATGGTGCCATGGTTTTGGCTGACCTGAGGAGGGGGTTACCCAAAGCACATCACTCCTGGACTAGGGAGCCTCACCCCAGGACGATGAGTTCACCATACTTGATGGGTTCCTCGCCTGGCAGTGCTTCTTCACCAGGAGAAGAGAGGATGCAAGAGCCCTTGCTCCCTGGGTGCTGGAGGTCCGAGGTCCGAGGGGATCCCACGTCAGGGTTTCCTTCCAGCACCATTCTGAGCAGAGTGGGAGAGGAGAAAAGAACTCTGAAGCATCCCACACCAGCTCCTGTCTAGCTCAGGCAAGCTGCCTTAAGCCAAGGCAAGCGTGGTCCTTCAACACTTATTATTATAACTACTTCTGTTCCCCATAAACGGTGAGGTTGCTGGATTGCCAGGGAGGCAGACTGATGAGACAAGGCAAACAAAGAAATGGCAAAGTCAGAGGGTCAGGATATTTGATGGGGCCAGTGGAATATAACAACTTTGGAGAGAATATGCTTGGCAGAGGGGCAGCCAGGTCTTAAGGAGCTTTACTTCTCAGACTTAGTTCCTGGCTTAGGCTTTTAACCCAACACCTCAGTTACCCCTTCTTATCAGGTTCTTGGATCTATATGTTCATGCTAATCTTTCTGCCTTTTTGCAGGTCTAGGCCTCTGTCGGTCTGTCTGCTCTCAATGACTCTCTGTCCTCCCAGCACTGTCCTTTTCTGCCTTTTCTCTTCCCAAACTCTATTCCCCCCTTCTCCTATCAATCTTTCTTCCTCTTGTCATCCACCTTACTCAGTCTCCCCATCTTGGCCTGGCATTGAAAGCAGGCCTCCAATTCCCTCCCGGGTGCGCGTCCCCTCCCTCCCTCAGGTGTCTGTCTGCGGTCCTCAGGCCGCTCTGGTCCCAGGAGGCCTGTGGGGGCTGCGCTCCCCAGTCGGGCTTCCCCTGCAGCACAGCGGGTGTCCCGCAGGCTGCCTATTTAACAACCCCAACGCCGGAGGGTCTGCGCCGAGGGAGGCTCGCACCCCGCGCTGCGCTCGGGACGGGCA